TTTGTAGATAATGTCATCTCCCTACTGCTGAAGACACGGTTTTAGAGTGCCAAATGCTTGAAATGCACATCTGATCCGATGCTGAATCTCTTCATAGATGTCGACGATGGTGGACAGGTGGGAGCCGAGATACCGAAAGTGGGTAACATTAGAGAGAGTAGTACCGTTAAGCTGGATGGATGGATGGTGGAGATGTGTCTAAACCAGGGGCAGGCTGAAAGAGAATCTGGGTCTTATGTACATTCACCTCAAGACCGTAGTGTGCTTATGCATCTGCGTAGGTGTTCAGTGTGAGCGATAAGTGTGAGGTTGAAAGCTGCCGACACCTTTGTTCCTGCCTGGTAGTCGTCTTATATTGAAAAGACCCTTCATCTGGTACTCGATGTCCACCACTCCGGCTAAATTGGCAGTGGCACGAGTAAGGAAGGCAGCCAAGAAAATGGAAAAGAGAGTTGGTGCTAGTACACACTCTTGTTTAACCACCGTTTGGATGGGGAAGAACTCAGATTGAGTGCCATTCTGCAGGACACTGCCGTTAATGTCATCGTGGATTTGCCTCACAATGGAGATGAATTTTGTTGGGCAGCCAAAACGGCTGAGGGTCCACCAGAGAGCCTTCCCTGATGACCGAGTCGAAGGCATTTTTTTTTTTTTTTTTACTGGGATTAGCCCACCCGAGCACAATTCACTGACCCACATCAAAAACTAAGGGGGGGAGGCGAAAATATATTAATAATAATAATAATAATAATAATAATAATAATAATAATAATAATAATAATAATAACTATTATTACCATTATTATTATCATCACCATTACCATCATCGTTATTATTATTATTATTATTATTATTATTATTATTATTATTATTATTGTTATTGTCATTGTCATTGTCATTTTCATTTTCATTATTATTATTATTATGAATAAAAATTAATAACAAAATAATAAAAATTAAAATAAGATAATAAAAATAATAACCATAAATAAATACAGAAACGAAAAAAAACAAATCAAGAATGAGAAACAATATACATTAAGTATGTTGTGTTGTCAGCAATCTGGAACTTGGTCACAATTTTTGTGATGCCATATGGCAGCAGGGTCTACCATTACACAACACATTATGCTTCTAGTATCTTCCCAGGCGGTAGTACCTCCCTGTTTGGTAGCTGCCTACTACCAACTAACTAGGTCAATAAAAACCATATACAGGTCGCGACGCTGTTCTCTGCACTTCCCCTGTATGTGGCAGGAAGCAAAGATCATGTCAGTGGTGCCACGTGATGGTCTACTCTAAAGCCACACTGAGATTCTGGGAGGAAGTTTTTTCCGCCTCAGGAAGAAGTCTGCTTAGGAGGAGCAGCGAGATTCCTTGTTCTTATAAATATTGACCTCATCCAGGGATGGAGGATAGCTGAGGTGGATCAACTTTGCATGCTGAGGGACGTGCTTGGTAGTCAGGATATCCACATCGGTTTTTTGGTTGAGCAGTGAATGGTAGTGCTCTTTCCAGCACTGAAGGATGCCTTCGTCGTCTTTAATTAGGGAGTTACTATTGGATGAGCAGAGGAGGGTTGCGCCATGAGTGATTGGCCCATACAATGTTTTAGTGAAATTGAAAGATTCGCGCATCTTGTGCTGATCTGCCAATTTTTGTGTTTCACATGCTTTATTTTTAAAGCAGTCGTTCCTTAGATTGCGAAGTTCACGCTGGGCTGCCACTTTCTTCTTGCGGAAGGTATCAGCTTTGGTCTAAGACTGAGAGTTGTTCTGCTAGTTAGTTAAAGCGGCACGTTTATAATCGACGAGTATACTGATTGCGGGGTCGTTTTCATCAAACCAGTCCTGGTGTATTCTTTTGATGTAGCGGAGGGTCTCTGCAGGTTTTTATCATGACAGTGTCGAGAATTTCCCATTCGCCACTGGGATTTGGGTTGTTTGTTGTCATGCTGTTTATTAGCCCATGTTCGAGCTACTCTCTAAAAGCATGTGCTACCGCTGGATCCTCCAGATGCTTAGTGTTAAAACCTTTCCAGGAGGCATACTGCCTTCGCCGTTTTGGGGGGACGTGAAGTGATGGCTTGACTCTGACGAGCCGATGATCAGTGTCGCAGTCGTCTGAGCCACACCTGGCTCGGGTGATGAGGACATCTCGTCGATCTATTTCTCTGACAATGACGTAGTAAATGAGATGCCTTGTTTGGATCGTGGGTGTTGCCACGAACCCTTGAACTTGTCGGTCTGCCTAAATAAGGTATTGGTGATAGTGTGGTTGTGTGCAACGGTATTGGTGATAGTAACGTTGTTTGCAGCACTCTTGCTGTGGAGGAGTAGGCTGTTGGGATTTCACTTGCCTAGTCCATTTCTCCTTATGGGTCCCTGCCAAATGTCAACATCTCTGTCAGCTCTACCATTGATGTCACCAAGGAGCACAACCTTGTCTTCTCTGGGGAATGACGTTAGCACTCTGTCGAGGTCGGTGTAAAAGGCCTCCTTGATGTCATCCCCTGCATCCAGTGTTGGGGCGTATGCACTGATGAAAAAGGGATGACGTGAGTAATTCAGTGGGATTCGGAGCGTCATGAGGCGCTCGATGATCCTAATAGGCATTTCCTTTAGCCTGTGTAGGATGAATTGGCGTATGGCAAGGGTAACTCCTTAAATGCGGTTTCTCTCCGCAGCAGGCTCACCCTTCCAAAAGAAAGTATAGCCAGACCCCTGTTCTGTGAGTTGACCATCACCTGGAAGTCGAGACTCACTAATGGCTGCTATGTCGATGTTATACCTAGCCAGCTCTCTTGCCACAATTGTGGTTCTTCTTTCAAGTCGCTCATTTGTGCCAGTATCCAGAAGGGTCCTGACATTCCATGCAGGGATCACGAGAGGTTGTATAGTTTGTTTATGTTTGCATCTGTGATTATGAATGAGTTTTCGACAGCAGAAGGATGACCTTACTGGGTGCGGCTACCCAGTCAGGTTGGGTTTTAGGCAGGCTATGTTTAGGGCACCTTTTCTAGCCCCCTACCCATGTGGGGTGAGCAGAGTGGGTCCTCGAAAGGGCTGCTCAGTCGCATACGCAGGACCGAATTGCACTGCTGCCTAGATCCCAGTGCATAAACGACCATCTTATCTATGCCGTCCATGTGCAGAGTTGTGACTAGAGTCTCCCAGCAGTCATCTCTGCCCGTGCCCGTCGTCACTCGTGTGTCGCCATAGGACTATAGGGGTATAGGGGTTTGATGATGATGATAAGTATGATGAGCTGGATAATGGCTGTGCCTGAGTTGATTTATTTGGTGAGGTAGGAACACAGGAAGCAACCTCACATCTTGGGTCTCCCTTTTCTAAATGCAGTGGTGCAATTGTTCCAACGACTGCGGAGAGGGAGAGTTGCAATGGACTGCCGATAGCCCAGTTTCTTGGGTTTCGCCTTAGTAGCCTTCATCTGCCGGTGGAGTCGTTGGGTTCCCTTATTGGTCACCTCTTCCGCCTATACCACCGTTGGGGTCTTGTTGGAGCTCTGTAGGCATGTTTGCCTGATTCGGGACTCCGCCGCACATTTTTCGTTCAGGTTTTACTCCTATAGCCGTATACCTACCAAGGTTAATTCGCAAATCAGCAGGCCAGTGGTTGGTAGGCGCTAGGACGTGTCCACATACCAGTGGGCCTGTGCGCAATCCGTCTGGGACCCACTGCTGCTCCGAGGTTCATTGCTGGTCTAGTCTTGGCCCACGAGGCACCCAGTTACCGTGTGGCACGAGGAGGCACAGGAAGAGTCCTGATAGTGAAGAGGCTGTGTACTGGCAGGCGAAGACTTGTGCAAGTTTTTTCCCTTTTCACCTGAAGGGTTAGCCAGTGGCGGTAGCTGAAAGTGAGAGGAAGCAAGAAATGCTTGCACTTTAACACTAACATAATGCTGCCACACTAGACGCATTAAACCACCCTGTGCACACACACACACACACACACACATACACATGCCAGCTTTTCACCATTAAGTTGTAAACACACCGGTCCAACTTACTTGAACAAACACTTATCGGTGCTACTATAGCGTGCCACCCACAAAGATATCTTAAGGATAACCTAATCTAACCTAAATATTTTTTTAGACCACACGCTTTAATTGTACACCATTTATCTAACTTGGCCGCTAAAAATACAAAACAAGGGAAGACTCAAGAAGTTTCGGCTCGATCAACAAGTGTGAGGGAGCGAGGAGATAGGTTTCACGGGACCTGGTAAAAACCCTTGCAAACACTGGAGACTGAGAGATGCAAATATTCCAAGTTGGTTCACATTGTTGTTGGATGGTCGCCAGCGGGAAGAACCTTAGTGGTGTATCGTTAAGAGGCCTTTGGTCTTACAAGCTACGCAACTAAAGTAACATACAACTTACAATTTCCTCTAATAAAAAATAAGAAAAATAATGGAATTATAGTAAATTCCTTATTTATTAGATTGCAATGTTAAGTACTGTTTGTCTTATATTTTGTTTTGGTGAAGAGCAATGATCGTCATAGAGCCTTTGATCAGTGAGGGCAGTTTAGGGCAAGACACGGCGGAGGTCGTGTTGGTGATGAACGTTTGCTCTCATCACAGGCAGTCATTGATTACCCCTGGAAGTGACGCCAAGTCAAAATTATCATGTGTGTATTTTCATTCCGCCACTAAACGCTCCGACGTATCACCGTAAACAATATTGCCTGGCTGGTGTGATGACCTTCTGAAACATTAAGAAAACCAGTTCATTTTAACAGCAAACGCTAACAGGCAATTTAGCTTCAAACATTCTCCTAACGGGGCCAGAGGAGGGTTATTTTTATCTTTGTGTATGTGTATGTCTGCCTGCCTGTCTCTCTCTGTTTGTCTGTCTGTCTGTCTAGTTCAGCTTTGTTACGATACTGTAGGCGAGGCTTCAAGTTGTTCTTTTCGCGCCGGCCTTCTGAGGGAACTTAATAGTTTTGTCATATGGTTACACAGAATCTCTCTCACCTGTTAAAGAAGAGGACGATGGCGAACATCCACACAGCCAGCACGAGGAGAACGATACCCACCTCCTCAGCCCTGACCCTCACCAGGCCAACATTGTTGTTTTCGTCGCCCAGTGTGGACCCGACGCTCACCACACTGTCCAGCATCGTGGGCGTACTGATGAAGCCTCCAGTCAAGTTACCTGCAACGACGCCATCATACACTCCCTTAGTGCTTTATATATATATATATATATATATATATATATATATATATATATATATATATATATATATATATATATATATATATATATATATATATATATATATATATATATATATATATATATATTCAAGACATCTTCAGAGGCAACTGGATTACATGGACAGAGAGAGGCTTAAATATACAGGGTGACCTAAAAACATGAGGTCAGGTCAAAATGATGACATCCACTAATCCCCACACCAACACACACGTAGAGGAGCTTAAGAGAAGGGTGGTGACGTGACTAGCCAAGTCAGGTCAGAAAAAAGGGACCCACAAAATAACTATCATACATCTAGATCAAAGGTTTTCAAAGCATTTTTAACCTTGGGCCACTGACAAATAAATTTATGTAACATATTATCAGTTTTGAATTGACCATCACTAAGGTTTATTGATTTTAATTCCTTAATCAAACTAGCTTCAACAAGAAGTCTTTCTGTGACACAAGATGATTTGAATACTTCTAAGCTTTTTTCCCAAGCAATGGGGTGATTATTATTCCTAACATGAACAAACAAGGCACTGCTTTCAGATGCAGTTCTGATATTATACTTATACTTATGTGTGTGTGTGTGTGTGTGTGTGTGTGTGTATTTCAGAATTCACTCTGTCAGCTGTTTTCTGTTTTTGTCAGATATTTTTCGTCGAGGTTTCTATCATCATATATTTTTAGTTAGACTTTTCCTCTGAAATTTTTTCCCTTTTTTGAGTGAGGGTCACGAGTTTTATGAAAGGAAGAAAAAACTCTCAAAGCGGAATTGCCTAACATCTGTTCCTAATGAATGCAAGAACGTCTATATTCTCGATAGGGTCAAATAATTTTTTAAGTCTTACACTCACGAGACGCCACAGGTATTGTTTTTCTTCATTGTTGAGTCAAAAACCTGTTATGGACATTAGTTTTAATGGAAATTTGATATACCAGGCTTTTCCCTTGACAATATCTGCTACTGAGTCGTACATATACAGAAGATAGACAAGAGTGTAGACACCACACAGCCTTCATTATTGGCATGACTTTTTCACATATTTAACTTCTGTATTGTTGACTTTAACTGTGAATAATAAACCCATTAACCCTGTCAACAACGAGATAGCTACGAGTCCAGCCTAGCGTTACTGTAATCCACCAATGATAATCCCTAAAATTTCGATTAACAAATGTAACGGGAGCTTTTCTCCGCCCTCATAGGTAAATGAATTTACATAGAAATATTAGCATTTATTGGTTGTTAAATGACGTCATTTTGGGTGTACTTCAGTACATGTTCCAAACGATTTTATAGATCCGGTTTCCGCAGCTGTGGTCTTTACTTTTTGAAGTCATTGAAATATTAGTAAATGATTAAAGAACTAAATTTGTCAAGGTTATTAATACTCACAAATGTCAGTGTACAGTGAAGACCAAGTTAAGAGTGAACGTTTATAGTGGACAGAGACCTTAGGGGAGCTGAAGACAAGGGAAGTAGAGAGGTGGGGACCAGGTAGGTAGGTAGGGAGGAGAGGACCATGTAGCTAGGGAGGAGGGGGGGCAGGTAGGTATGGAGAAGTTGGGCAGGTAGGTAGGGAGGAGGGGACCAGTTAGGTAGAGAACCAGGTAGACAGGAAGGGGGGGCAGGTAGGTATGGTGAAGTTGGACAGGTAGGTAGGGAGGAGGGGACCAGATAAGTAGGGTGGAGGAGGCCAGGTAGGTAGGGAAGAGTAGACCAGATAGGTAGGGAGGAGGGGACCAATTAGGTAGAGAACCAGGTAGACAGGAAGGAGGGGGCCAGGTAGGTAGGGAAGTGAGGACAATGGAGTCAGGGAAATGAGAATCAGGTAGGCAAGGAGGGGTGACAAAACAGGTAGGGAGGCGAGGTGAATAGATCTTACCCTGGAAAGAGTCGTCAATAGCGGTTTGGAAGGTGACGACGGGGGAGGTGGAGAGCACGGTGTTGTTGAGCACGGTAGTGACGTACACCTGGTATTGTGTGAGGGGCAATAGTCGCTCCAGCACCACGCTCCTCTGTGGCGACATCACCTCTGCCACCACCCTGTATCTGTAGCACACACAAAATACATGCTCATTATTCCGTCACTTATACACACACACACACACACACTACTACTACTACTATTTTGCTGTCACTCGGAATCGAGTATGACGATCATCCAGCTATGATACAATGATATGAGTTATTAAGGATGTCACATACGTTGGTGACTAAAGAGGCCGATACGGGACCGGCACAGTCGTTCACAGTTGTTGCACATGTGGGGGCTACATCTAGTGCGGGAGAGGCAGCAGCAGTGTCTTTTCCGCGTTGGGGTTTGCCTGTCTCGCTATGCAGTCGGGATAACTCAAAATTATTGATACCTTCTTCTGTGGTGCTCCTCCAAAACTTACGGTGTGGAGAAATCGTCTCCCAGGTGAGGGGATCGATTTGGCACTTTTTCAAGTTTGTCTTGAGACTATCCTTATACCTTTTCAGTTGCCCGCCAGAGTTACATTTACTATTCGTTAGGTGACTGTAAAGTAGCTGCTTTGGCAGTCTACTGTAGTCCATGTGAGTAACATGACTAGTCCAGCGTAGTTGTTCATAGATAATGGTAGCCTCGATGCTCTTACAGTTGGTGTCAGCGAGAATACTGGCATTTGTTCTCTTGTCTTCCTAGCGAACTCGGAGGATGGAGCGTAGACTACATTGGTGAAAGTTTCAAAGTGCCTTGAGGAGCCTCATGTATGTGACCCATGTCTCACTACCATATAGCAGGGTGGGGAGGACCACTGCTCGATATCAGGTGCAGCTTTGTAGATAATTTCAGCTCCCTACAGCTGATGACACGGGTAAAAAGTCTGCCAAAGGCTTGAGATGCACATCTGATCCGATGTTGAATATTTTTATTGATGTCCCCAGTGGTGAACAGGTGGGAGCCGAGATATCGATATTTGGTAACATTAGGGAGGGTAGTACCATTAAGCTGGATGAATGGTGGAGGTGTTGATGAACCAGGGGCAGGCTGAAAGAGAATCTGAGTCTTACGTACATTAACCTCTAGGCCGAAGTATGCATACGCATCTGCATAGGTGTTCAGGATCTCCTGCAGGTTGCGTTCAATGCGAGCGACAAGAGTAAGGTCGTCTGCATACTGAAATTCAGTAATGGAAGCTGTGGACACCTACGTTCCTGCCTGGAGTCGTCTTTTGTTGAAAAGACCTTTCATCTGGTACTCGATGTCCACCCCACCGGCTAAATTGGCACTGGCACAAGTAAGGAAGGTAGCCAAGAAAATGGAAAAGAGAGTTGGTTCCAGTCCACATCCTTGTTTCACCCCTGTTTGGATGGGAAAGAACTCAGACTTGGTGCCATTGTGCAGGACACTGCCGTTCATGCCATCGTGGAGTTGCCTCACAATGGCGATGAATTTCTGTGGGCAGCCAAGACGGCTGAGGGTCCACCTGAGGGCTTCCCTGTTAACCGAGTTGAAGGCCTTGGTTCGGTCGATGAAGGCCAAGTACAGTTCCAGACCCTGTTCTCTGCACTTTCCCTGTATCTGGAGAGCAGCAAAGATCACGTCAGTGGTGCCACGTGATGGTCTCAGGCTACATTGAGATTCTGGAAGGAAGTTTTGCGCCTCAGTAAAAAGTCTGTTTCGGAGGACTTGGCCGATAATCTTGCCAGCTACAGACAGCAACGAGATCCCGCGGTAGTTAACACAGTCTGGCCGGTCTATCTTGTTCTTATAAATATTGACGATGGAGGCGTCTTTAAGAGCTTGGGGAATTTCTTCCTTTTCCCATACATTCTCCAGGAGAGAGTGGAGACGGCTGGTAAGCAGAGGTCCTCCTGCTTTATGCACCTCGGCTGGGATTCCATCAGGCTCTGAGGCTTTGTTATTTTTCATCTGTTTGATGGCAGTAGCTACCTCATCCAGGGATGGAGGATAGCTGAGGTGGGTCAGCTCTGGATGTTGAGTGACCTGCTGGGTAGTCAGAACATCCACATCGGTGTTTCGGCTGAGCAGTAAATGGTAGTGTTCTTTCCAGCCCTGAAGGAGGCCTTCTTTTTCTTTAATTTGGGAGTTACCGTCGGATAAGCGGAGGGGTGCTGCGCCATGAGTGATTGGCCCATAAAATGTTTTAGTGGAATTGAAAAATTCGCACACCTTATGCTGATATGCAAGTTTTTTGTGTTCCATGTGCTTTTTAAACCAGACGTTCTTTAGATTGCGAGGCTCGCGCTTGGCCGCCGCTTTTTTCTTGTGTAAGGTATCACCTTTGGTCCGAGACTGACACACACACACACACACACACACACACACACACACACACACACACACATTGCCTTTGAAAATAGATTTCAGTTTTTCATGGGCGCTACAGCCAACGTTTATGTATAGTGTTCACTTTACTTGATTGGTATCCATTAGGTGGCGCTAATTAACGTACTGTCCGCTACATACTGTGACATGATCCCGTTTATGTTGTTTGACTTTTGTAAGCTAAGGATTATTGAAATTATTGGAAATCACTTCACCGATATTGATATTAAATATTTTTTTTTTGTTTAATGAATTTTATCACATAAAAAAATATTTCCGTATGAGTGACATTGAAAAGGGTTTTTATCGTCAGGGTAAAATTGCACTGTTATATAAAGTATAAGAACTTAATGTAATACCCATATTATGTAGGATCGACAGTGTTTGAATCAGATTTAATTCGATAGATTATATACATGACTGATCTGAAAACAAAAACAGGAATTTATACGGAAATTTTACTCTAACGTTATTAGAAATAAAACTATTATGCAGTAAAAAAAATATTGACCTTACGTTCACGAAATAATTGAGTAAAAAAAACTATATATAAAGCAGAAAGAGCAATATATAATTTTTGTTTTTGTTTTAGATGTCAGTGCGCCATGATGGAACTGTGTGTGAGAGAGAGGATGTTTTTATTAATGTTCTCTGACCGAATTTGTTGTAAATTTTGGATTTCTGTCTGTTAATGAACTTATGTAAGTTTTAGTTTTAGTTTGTGTGTGCGTGTGTGTGTGTGTGTGTGTGTGTGTGTGTGTGTGTGTGTGTGTGTGCACAGGATGGTGAAATGTGTCTCATGTGCAAGCATTATTTTAGTGTTAAGTTGCAAGCACTGCTTACTTCCTCTCGCTTTCAGCTACCACTACTGGCTAGTCCTCATGGCGAACAGGGAAGCAACTTGCATAAGTCTTCCTCTGCCAGTACACAGCCTCTTCACCATCGACGCTACTGCTGTGCCTCCTTGTGGCAACACACGGTAACTGGGTGCCTCGTGGGCCCAGGCTAGACCAGCAGGGGATCTCAGAGTAGCAGTGGGCCCCAAAGGGACGGCACATAGGCCCAATGGCATGTGGACAAATCTTGGCGCCTACCAACTGTGGTGAGATGCAATCCTAAACAAGGTTCTTGAAACTCCAGGGCACGAGCAGTAGATATATTCCATAAGTAGTACAAGACTTGGCAGGATAACCGACAGGTACAGAAAAACAGGGACAAGCACAAAGGACTCCATGTCGTAGCCAGGCCGAAGCCGATCTGAGAGAAGTTAGCTAGCTAGGCAGGGAGAGTTGCTAGACATTACTAGGACAATAAATGAGGTCTTCTAGTTACTTGACTAGCGAGGTACAGACATAGTACATCGGGACATAGTAAGTAGACATAGGCATTAGACATAAGCATAGATATCAGACATGCTATAATAATATGTAGTAATACAGACATGTGAATAAATGGTGCAATGAATGGTAACACAGTCTTACCGTCAGGCGTGTTCGCATATCTTGGTATTTACATATCTATACACCAACCAGTGCCAGACTGCCTTGTGGATTAACCTTGGTAGGTATAAGGCTATAGGTGTAAAACCCGAAAGAAAAATCTGCGGTGGTCCGCCGTCATCCGGCAGAAATGCTTACAGAGCTCCAACAAAACCCCAACGGCGATATAGGTGGAAGAGGTGACCACCATTGGAACCCAACAACTACACTGGCGGACGAAGGCAATACATGATGGACAGGCAACTAATGCGAAACCGAACAGACTGGGCTATCCGCAGTTCATTGCAACTCTCTCTCTCTCCCCAGTCGTTGCAACACTTGCACCAATGGATCAGGAAAAGGGGGAGCCAAGATGTGTGGTTGCAGCCTGCACTCCTGCCTCACCACATAAATCAACTCATGCGCAGCCATCATTCAGCTCATCATAATCCTCATCATCATCATAACCCCAGTACCCCCAAAAGTCCTATGGCGACGGACGAGTGGCGACGGTGACAGGCAGAGATGACAACCGGGAATCTCTAGTCACAACTCTGCTCATGTGTAGCACATATAAGATGGTCATTTCTGCACTGGAATCTAGGCAGCAGTGCAATCCGGTCCTGTCTGTGCGACTGAGCAGCCCTTTCGAGGAGCCACTCTGCTCACCCCACATGGGGAGGGGGATAGAAATGGTGCCCTAAACACAGCCTGCCAAGGAACTAACCTGTCTGGTCGCTGCATGGAATATCAGGATCCTTCTGGATACTGGCACAAATGAGTATCCTGAAAGAAAATCCGCCTCTATGGCAAAAGAGCTGACTAGGTATAACATCGACAAAGCAGCCATTAGTGTGTAACGGCTCCCAGACGAGGGTCGACTCACAGAACGGGGTTCTGGATATTCCTTCTTCTGGAAGGGTAAGCCTGCTGTGGAGAGAAACTGCATTTATGGAGTTGCCTTTCCCATCCGCCAACGTGTCTTACACAGGCAAACTGAAATCCCATTGGGATCAACGAGCGCCTAATGACACTTTAAGTCCCACAGAATCACTCACGTCATGCCTTTTTCATCAGTGCATACGCCCCAGCACTGGATGCATAGGAAGACATCAAGGAGGCCTTTTATGCCGACCTCGACAGAGTGCTAACCTCTATACCCAGAGAAGATAAGGTTGTGGTCCTTGGTGACATCAATGCCTGAGTTGGCAGAGATGCTGACATTTGGCAGTGAACCACAGGGAGAAATGAACTAGGCA